CCCCTTGGGTCTCCCAAGTGATTGCAGAAAAACCCAAACAAATTGACTAACAGAAAGGAAGCTATCAGGCAGTAGAGTGACATTTTAATTTTGAGTTCTGTCTTTGTTTAAAACATATGGGATTGTGACTCTTAAACTATTGCCTCTATAAGAAATAAGCTGCAGAAGAAAGAGGGAATTCTAGGACACACAGAAAGACAGACATTATTTTAGCCACAAAGATAGAAAAGTTTGGATGAAACTTCCAGATTGGATAGATGTTGGTTAGATGTCCCCATTTATTTCTGTGGGTAATTCTGACTTCTGCCCTGGGATAGATTTAAAATTGACTTCCTTCCAGTGAAATTCTCTATCCATATACAGTGGTACCTCAGGTTACATATGCTTCAGGTTACATACGCTTCAGGTTACAGACTCTGCTAACCCAGAATAATGCTTCAGGTTAAGAACTTTGCTTCAGGATGAGAACAGAAATCGTGCAGCGCCGGCGCAGTGGCAGCAGGAGGCCCCATTAGCTAAAGTGGTGCTTCGCGTTAAGAACAGTTTCAGGTTAAGTACGGACCTCCGGAACGAATTAAGTAGTTAACCCAAGGTACCACTGTAATGAAATGAGCCATTCTTGGCTTTTTCTTTTTTTTAAAAAATGTGTTTTTATCAATAAATACATTATTGATAACAAATTAACGGTAATTATGTGAACCTGGAGAGGGGACCATAAAAGCATAGGCTAGGCTGTTTAGGCTTTTGCACAGCTCAGCAATATTATAATTATTATTATTAATTTCATACTTCCAGAACATTTATCTGTACCATCTGCAAAATGTGGTTAGCCTTCCCATAAACATGTGTTCGGTTGTTTCTGATCTTTAGTAATGTGATTGTGGGAAAGGGAACTATAAAATTTTAAACCTCCTGATCAAATTGTACCAGATGTTTACAGCAATCTGAACCCAAGACCAGAAAATTTATTAGTTTCTACCTCTTTAGTAGGGAAACAATGACTTTTCAGGTTTTTATGTGTGTGTGCAAATCTAATACACCGTAGTTTGATCAATAGGTGTCAGTGCTTTAGTTTTCTCTCTCACCACTCCTGTCACCAGAGGTCAACAGATTTTCAAACCTAAGGTTGCTGCTTCTGCTGCTGATTACATTTATCAGCTGTTTTATATAATAAAAATTCTCAAAGCGCCTTGTCAGGTTGCAGCTTTTTAAGTAGTTCTGGTCCTTTGCCTTTTGCATCAGTCTGATATGCACCAATTGATCAAGTGAAATACTCTCTGTCATTCTAGCTTCATACCAGGAAAATCTTTGCCTGCTAAATTTAATGTGTCAAACTGCTGTGAAGGAAATGGTGGCAGGACCTGAAAGAAAGGCAGATGGATAGCAAACCTGTTCAAATCCAGCAGTTCTGCAATCTATAATCATGACATTTCCAAAATACAGAGCCTTGGAGATTCTTGGTTAATAGGAGGCTGTTGGGCAGACACCTGGTTTTCCAAACAGCAAATTTCCTCAGTTCCTTCCTGAAACGATCCAAGCCACAGATTATGGGACAAAATCCAATGAGTAACACCAGAGCTCCTTCTCAGAAAGTTGTCTGAAATGCCTCAAAAAGCCAACGCAAACAAGGCTGCATGCTGGTAAATTAACTTTTTCTATTGCATCACATGTAGCTCAACAGAACTGCCGGTCAAGAAAACGTTGGCCATATTTTGCTAAGCTGGCTGCTTGGTCAAGGATGATTGGTTGATTTATTAGGAGACATTTCCTGAATGGGCAGTCTACCTGCGGCTTGGGCTCTGAGACCAGTTTCTGCCTATACGTGTGGTAGAACAGAAAGCAGTTGCAGATTTTAAACAAGGAGTGAGTCAGACAGCTGGGAGGTTTCCCGTCCCCCCCGGTGTTAGCAATGGTGGTACGGATGTTATTTAGGAAATGTTGCAAGACCATTGGTTATGCTGCCTTCTATAGAAGTCTGCTTGCTTCCAATATGTTTCACATGTATATTTGCAAATAAAAAAATATTAAGAAGATACGCCAATCCTTCAGTGGTTTCTGTTGTAGGCAACACACAATGTTAAACCATAGTTCATAATCAATGATGATTAATGCTCCTAACTGTGTCATCCAGGGAAGGAAACAAGCTAGAATCTGGCTCATCATGACATGCAAAACTCAAGAGGTAAGCCAAAAAGAAACTTTGGCTTCCACTGGTGGTTCATTTGGAGATAACTAAGCCACAACGATGTGTTCACACATCACAATGACCTGTGTTGTTTCTTCCCGTATATGGCATGGAAAGGAGCAGGGAAGGTTCAACCAGTGTGGTGTAGTGGTTAAGAGTGGTAAACTTGTAATCTGGTGAACCGGGTTCGCTTCCCAGCTCCTCCACATGTAGCTGCTGGGTGACCTTGGGCTAGTAACAGTTCTCTGAAGTCCCTCAGTCTCACTCACCTCACAGAGTATTTGTTGTGCGGGAGGAAAGGAAAGGAGAATGTTAGCTGCTTTGAGACTCTTTCAGGTAGTGATAAAGCGGGATATCAAATCCAAACTCTTCTTCTCTTCTTCCTTCTTCATATTGGACCTAGCTGTGATGACTTTCACGTTTTGTCGCTAACTTTGGGAGTGTTTGTCTTGGCTTTTAAAGCAGCTAGTTCTTCATTTCCTGGCAGGGCCTTGATTGTCCCAAGCTTACTTCCTTGAATCAAGCAGTATAGTCCACTGGATAGAACTGGATTTGGAGCTGAGAGCTGCTCCTCTCTCTCTGGGGCTCAACATGTGATTTCTGATATCAAATCCAAACTCTTCTTGAACCACAGTTTATTTTAAATTATGGTTTAAGGTTGATGCTTGCATGGAAAGATGCTAGGTCACTAATCTCACTCTCACAGTTTCTCCATATGCATTGTTGGAGTGTTGTGGCACCAAGCAACAGGGAAGGGGCTCCCAAGCCCTTGTGTAAATGAATCAGGCCTTCAACTTTGGCTTAAAAGAGAGTGTCACGGTGATTTACTAATATTGGCGGACTGATATTTTGTGGGCTGCTCCAAGCAACTTTTGTATAATAATTCCTGCCCTTATTACTAACTTGACAAAAAAATACCACATACTAAACACACACACACACACACACACACACACACACACACACTTCTTCCCTAACTGTTCTTTGCTGATGTTGGAACTTCAAAGATTTAGCCAATTAGGCTCCCTAGTCATGACCTCCTGTAACTTAAACCGGGCATGTCTCTTCTTGAGTTATAGGTGACTGGCATCTTCCTACGCCTGAAATATTTTCCCAGGAAACTGCCCTTATCCTTTCCACCCCCACTACAGCTAAGCAATGGTGCTTGTGTCAGAAGTTAGTTTAGTAAGGACCGTGGGAGAAACAGCCATGAAGGCACCATCATCAAAGGGCTGGGAAAGCATCTAAGCCCTGGGCAAAGGGATAGACTTGTCTCCTTCAAACCACTGCTACAGCATTGCATTGTGTGCACCCAGGGCTGGATTAAGACCTTTAGAGGCCCTAAGCACTTAAAAGGCTTTGGTGCCCCCATATATATCTGATTCAAAATATAAACAATAGTAAACCATAAAATAATTTTTTTGAAATGAAACAAAACCTACTGTAAGATGGAAAGTAATGTTTATTTTTGTATACTTCCACTGTATTATCTGAATTTTTTCTCCTACTTTTTCTAATGGCAAAGTCTTATATCAGATCCTCAAAACTAACCTTATGTAATACACCAGCTTCTATACTTAGAAGAGATAAAGCACCCAGCCTGCCTTGTTGCACAGTTGTTCTGTTGGGATTTTTAATATACCTCAGCCAGGAAAACGAACACTCAGCAGAGCAATTTGTGACCATTAATATTAAAAATCTGGCAATGGAAAATTTCTGTGGTGCTCCCTTGCCTAGATGCCCTAAGCACGTCCTTGTTTTGCTTAACGGTTAATCCAAGCCTCAGTGCACTGCTTCAACAGTGTAGCAACTCCTAGAATCGGACCATATGCCTGCAGAATTTGTCCCTTTTCTCATTAAAACATCGCTTCTGCATGAAAACTATTTGTCACAAGTCTCAAACAGGCAGCAGCTGTGGAATGTCCACCTTGTGTCAGCTTTTTCGGTTGCCATCTGTTTGCTGAGCGAGTCTGTTTAAATTGTTTCCTGGGAAAAGAACTGATTTAAAATAGGATTCTTGCCAGGTCACGGCCATGAGGGCAATTCAAGTGTTAGGTTGAAGAAATCCTGACTTGTGTGCATTCCTTTCTAGTCATGTAGTTCAGCAACAGTTGTATACAGTGGTATACAAAAAGGCAGGCTTTGCAGCGTGCCACTAAATGCAGCCTATTCCAAGGAAGAGGAGCCTGGGCCCTGGCACTATTGATCAAGTGGCAGGGAGAGCCAGCAGTGCCCAGATACTGGAAGAAGCCAAAAAATATTGTGATTTTTAAATGGATAGTGTGGTTTGTTTTACGTGTGCACACATACAAATACAGGGCTACTACATTGGGCAAAAGATTTCTGCATTGCAGGGGGTTGGACTAGATGTCCCTCATGGTCCCTTCCAACTCAATTCTATGATTCTATTTGGAAGTGAGAGCTGGACCATAAAGAAGGCTGATCTCCGAAGAATTGATGCTTTTGAATTATGGTGCTGGAGGAGACTCTTGAGGGTCCCATGGACTGCAAGAAGATCAAACCTCTCCATTCTGAAGGAAATCAGCCCTGAGTGCTCACTGGAAGGACAGATCCTGAAGCTCAGGCTCCAAGACTTTGGCCACCTCATGAGAAGAGAAGACTCCCTGGAAAAGACCCTGATGCTGGGAAAGATGGAGGGCACAAGGAGAAGGGGACGACAGAGGACAAGATGGTTGGATAGTGTTCTCGAAGCTACAAACATGAGTCTGACCAAACTGTGGGAGGCAGTGGAAGACAGGAGGGCCTGGGGTTATGAAGAGTCGGACACGACTAAACGACTAAACAAATGGGAAATGTGAGTGCATTATTTGTGGAAGCAGGGGATCTTTGTGTGCACTTTCCCCTGAGGTTTTTCTAGTCAACAGCAGAGAGACAGACAAAGGAAGAGAGAGTCAGAGCAGGTTTCAGGCTCATCTGATGTTCAGTGCATACTGACTCGCAGTTGTGCCAGGAGGGGGCGCTGTGGTGCAGAGCTGGCAGCACAAGCTTGACTTGGTGGTTGTTCTCTGGGGGATTCTGTGCTGAAAAGAGATGTGTGTTTCCTTCCTTCTTTGGACGGCTTCATTGCACTCCATGTGTGTTGACCTCTTTGATTTCAATGTTTCTTGCTGTTGTGGATCTAAAGTCTTTTTCATCTTTAGCATCTGCTTTCCTTGTCTCATATTATTAAAATAGCTTATGTGTCCATACAAATAACCTACCGATGCTTTTGAAGAATTCCAAATTAGTAAAATACATATTGCTTGTTTAATTAAAACGATCTCCTCCTGTTTACATGCACTCCTCACATTTTGCAATACTCCTGTCGACAGAAATAATACTCCGTACCTATGACACGGATCCTGCACATCGCTCTTGGTGCAGATATTGTACAACCCCCTTGTATACTAGGCGCATCAGTCAGAAGTTTCTAAGAAAGTCTTGGCGCCTCTCCAAAACATTTCCTTTCAGCAAATCTAAAAATGGAATCCAACTAGTGTATATAATATATTTTCGACAGACATAAAGCTACATGGGAGGAGGTGGGAGGATGTCACTAAACAGTTAATCCAGTTAACTGTCTAATACTAAATAGCTTAGTTGGTTGGAGCATGGTGCTGATAACGCCAAGGTCACAGGTTCTTTTTTATATATATATGCTTTTTATTGAGTTTTCATTTTAAATACACCAACACCAACAAACAAAAACATCAAGTCTTATTACATGTATCCTACATTATGCTCCGTGGAGCCGTTGACTTCCCTCCTTCCCTTCCGCAAGTTTTCTTATTCCAATCTTTAATTCACAGTTCCTTTAGTTAAAGATTACACCATGACATAAGATTTACTTCGGTCCTGCTAACGTCTTCAAATTTCTACAGTTCTCACTTATATAAACCATAAATTTACTCCATTCTTTTTGGTACTTCGTATCCTCCTGACTGCGAATTCTGTGTGTCAGTTTTGCCATCTCTGCGTACTTGACCAACTTTGTCTGCCACTCCTTTACAGTCGGTATCTCCTGTGTTTTCCACTTTGGGGCTATCAAAACTCTAGCTGCTGTCGTCACATACAAATATAGTCTTTGGTCTGTCTTCTTAAAAAGATGTTTAAATATACTTTTCCAAAAAAAGTCTGAAGAATTGTTGCTAGGTTTGATGGGAGAGGATATTAAGAAGACCAAGGTCACAGGTCCAATCCTTGGACTAGATTATTCTCAGGGTCCCTTCCAGCTCTACAGTTCTATGATTCTTTATGTATGGAGGAAAAGAGATAAATCACTCGCTCCTCATTGTACCTTTTTCAGGCAGACCAAAATCCTTCTAGCGTCCTGCTCCAAGGACTTCTTTAATCTTTAGGGCTCTCAGTCCTTATCACCAGAAGAGTCCAGCTGGATAAGGCCAAAGGTCCAACTAATTCAGTATCCTCTTCTCACAGTTACCACAGTGGTGTACCTGATGCACAGTTCCCTGCAAGTCAAGGAGACAGCAGATTTTTATGGCATGAGAAAGAAAGCAAGTTCCACTAGAGGGCAGTCATGTCTAAATATCAGCAGTAAATCTGCCTGAAAGCAAATAACTGGCGACCACTTATACAGTGGTACCTCTGGTAGCGAACTTAATTCGTTCCAGAGGTCCGTTCTTAACCTGAAACCGATCTTAACCTGAGGTACCACTTTAGCTAATGGGGCCTCCCGCTGCCACCGTGCAATTTCTGTTCTCATCCTGAGGTAAAGTTCTTAACCCGAGGTACTATTTCTGGGTTGTGGAATCTGTAGCCCGAAGTGTTTGTAACCCGAGGTACCACTGTACTAGAGACATTTCTAACCAAGCTCCATGCTGGGACATGTAATTGTCTCTTGGATTAGAATCATGGATAATTGCGCAGTAAATGCACAGTATAAATTGCAATGTGATGTAGCTGTAATCACCACTGGAGCTTGCATTCTCTATTGTTCCTGATTGCTATAATCCCTATAGTGTAGTTTTCCAAAATTTACTCCACTTTTTAAAGCCCTGTCCCCAGATGCAACGCCAGTACTTGGAATGGGATGGTGGGTTTACATTTTCTGTCCTTTACCTCTGACACATAGACCTAACAAGCTGAGTTCTTGGTTTTGCATCAGGGCAGCATGTATAGTCACACTCTTGGAGATGCAAAATCCCATCTCCTGGATTTTCATAAGTTTTTATACCGGCAGATGTGTCAAAGGGGGGGGGCAGACAAGGTGGTGATAGCAACTCTGTGGCTGTAGTTTTCTGTGTGCTTTTACATTTTAGCAAAAGGTGCACTAGTTCTTCAAAAGAAAAACATCATTACCCGAATGCATTTCGTTCTGGCTCTACTCAGTATAGAGGTCACATCCACACCACACATTTAAAAAACGCTATACCACTTTAACACTCATGGCTTCCCCTAAACAATCCCATAGTTTGTTAAGGGTGTTGACCCAATGGATTTCAATGGGAAAATAAAATATGTGCTTACCTTTCTTCCCCTGAAATCAGCTGAACCTGTAGCCTGATCCCATGCATGTGTGCTCAGGTGTAGATCCCTCTGAATTTGAGAGAATTGTCTCATAGGTGTGCATGGGACTGCACCCTTAAAAATGTTTTAATTTGCTTGGATACTGCCCTTACCAAATATAAATGAGACAGCCAGAGGTGGGGATGGATGGATCTGTCAATTTCAGTTCTTTCTGTTCCTTTTATTCGGTTCTCTACATTTCTGCAGCAATTTGTGGTCCCACCCCCAAACCCCAAAAATGAGGTTTCGAAATTAGTGTTTCTCTTAAAAAGCTCATTTTGTATGCAGTGTTGCCTAATATACACCCTTTGCCAAAACACATTTCCCTAATATAATGCATGTTTGTGTTATATTCACTGATATATGCACCTTTTGCCTCAGTCTGTGCGTTTTTGTACACATTACTCTGCTGGAAAACTACATTGCAAAATTCAGAGAAGTGCAAATTTCAAATGCAGTTTCTGCATTGTTTCAGAAACTGTGAATTTAGAACATTCACCTTTAAGTATGAACTTAATCAAATTTCTTCCCCATCCCTAACCACAGGAAAAATATGTGCTTGATCTGTTGTCTGCTCTAGTAATTAACATTGAGAACCTAGGCCTGTTTGTTTGGAGTAATCTCAATTGCAATCAATGTAAATTACTTCCTAAAGTAGCCATTAATACTTGGATGCAAACTGGGACTCAGCTAGACTGGTAAAGAAAAAGCAATTTGTACGTGTTGTATGTGCGATATGACATTGTGCCAATAGATGGCGACGTGGACTCCCGATTTTCTCTACCTGTTTTCCTTGTTTAAATTTGCAACACTTTAGACTGAAACGCTTCTTTGATGTGCCTAGATCGAGCCCTGCTGTCTTTTCCAGGAGAGTACTGGCATGGGGGAAGGGGTGGGGCAGGGGAGACTGAGGTTTTGAATTATGGTGCCCTGCCCAGCCTCAGTTGCTGCCAGAATCCAAATAAGAAGCCAGAGGGAGGCATTTCATATATTTTTTCTATACCAGGAGGTGCTTGCATGTGGGAAAATAAAACGTTATAGAGGCAGGCAGGATGGAGCTGAGCCACAAAATTCTTGGCTTTCATATGGACGACAGTGCCAGTTCACCCTAGAGAGAAGGATGAGCGAAACTTATGCCGTGGACAAAAGGGATATGTGGGATAGGTAAAGGTAAAGGGACCCCTGACCATTAGGTCCAGTCGTGACCGACTCTGGGGTTGTGGTGCTCCTCTCGCTTTATTGGCCGAGGGAGCAGGCGTAGAGCTTCCGGGTCATGTGGCCAGCATGACTAAGCCGCTTCTGGCGAACCAGAGCAGCACACAGACACGCCGTTTACCTTCCCGCCGGAGTGGTACCTATTTATCTACTTCCACTTTGATGTGCTTTTGAACTGCTAGGTTGGCAGGAGCAACGGGAGCTCACCCCGTCGCGGGGATTCGAATAGCCGACCTTCTGATCGGCAAGCCCTAGGCTCTGTGGTTTAACCCACAGTGCCACCTGTGTCCCTATATATGGGATGGAGTACACATTATTTGCAGTCTTTGATAAGCAGTCTTACCACCTTTTTTTACTGGGCATGCTCCTGTGCCTTTTAACAGATTTAACAGCAGAAATACATCATGTCTTCATGCCAAGAATAGGGTTGCTCAGTGCTATTTTTCTAGAAACCGAGGTGCCGGAACTCACCACAAACACCTCCCTTGTTCTCTTATCATGGCAATGGTGCCCAACTGAGAGGTGCCAGAATTGAGTTCCAGCTGGAAAAAAAGCCCTGGCATCACTTCAATTCCTGTGTGTCTGGCTGCTCTGAAAGGCACAGGAGCAGGGTGAGTTTAAAAGATGGCAACATGAGGCTTGCTTTATTATGAAAAGCCTATGGAGGGTGTGCTAGGGGAAGAAAGGAACTGGAAAGGACGGCAAATGGTTTGCTGAAAATGCCGGTTATCTTTTTATTTGTGGCATTTTTAATTTGTTTTGACATTGTTTCTCCTAGAGTAAGAGGAAAGAGGAGTAGAGAAATGTAAGAGACAAACTGAGAGTGGGGTCTATTTTAAGCACACACACACACACCCTCATACTTCTCATTTAGAAATGCTTCTTCAAACCCTAAAATAATCCACGGCAAATGACAAAAGGAGCACCAGATGGTTAAAGAATCACCATGGAGATAATCCAGTGGAATGGTATCTAAGAGGAGTGCAAACAAGATTAAGGCGAGATCTGAAATGGCAAAATTGCATCCTAGAAGTAGCTCAGAGGAAGACTTCTGGCCTGTCCCCAGCGTACATCCTGCATCAGTGCAGAGGGGTGAAAGAACAAAGCGGTGACCATTTGCGGAGCGAGACAAAGGAGCTGACAAGCTGGCTTGCTGCCTGTCAAGGCCTGTATTATGAGGCTTGGCTTATTCATGAGAGCCCTCCAGACCCTGCTCAACTCACCTGCGTTCTCAGGTGGAAAGTGTGTGCCACCTACATATTGTCCCTGTGGAGGATGGTCCTTTGTGGAGTCCCTCAATGTCAGGAAGCCACAAAGAGGTTCTAAAGGATGGGGAAACTGTGGTCCTCCATATGTGTCTAGAGCACAACTCAGGTGATACCTCGACCACTGGCCTAGGGCTGGTGGGTATAGTCCAGTAACATCCAAGGGGGGGGACAGATTCCCCAGACTTCTTAGTATAGGGTTTCTGTTAACAGTTCTGCTGCCACCCCCATTCTGGAGAACAGCATCCCTGTTGAGATTTGTCCTTTCTGGAAACAATTTGAGACTTTTTTTTTTAATCCTACCAGCTTTTCCAGCTTAAGTATTTATTCTGTATATCTTACTTGCTGGAGTGGGTGGGTTTGGTATTGTCTTTAAAGCTATTTTCAGTTGTTTTGAATTGGCTCGAGACTCATGTGGAAAGCTATCCACAAATTAATATAATAGGTACAACAGCGCAGGTGGGCAGTTCTTTCCCTGGTGACTTGCTTTCCCTCTGTGTACGTGGAATTAGGCAGGACAGTTGTGGAAGTAGCAGGCAGGGGGGAAAACTCAGTGACTTGGGCTGGATCTAGACACACCAAAGGAGCGTTTCAGTTTAAAGCATTGTAATTTTAAACAGGGAAAACAGGTAGAGAAAAACAGGACTCCACATCGCCATCTGGCGGCACAATGTTATATGGCATATAAAGGTAAAGGGACCCCTGACCATTAGGTCCAGTCGCAACTGCCTCTGGGGTTGCGGCGCTCATCTCGCTTTACTGGCCGAGGCAGCCAGCGTACAGCTTCTGGGTCATGTGGCCAGCATGACTAAGCCGCTTCTGGCGAACCAGAGCAGCGCATGGAAACGTCGTTTACCTTCCCGCCGGAGAGGTACCTATTTATCTACTTGCACTTTGACATGTTTTCGAACTGCTAGGTTGGCAGGAGCAGGGACCGAGCAACGGGAGCTCACCCCATCGTGGGGATTCAAACCGCTGACCTTCTGATCGGCGAGTCCTAGGCTCTGTGGTTTAACCCACAGCACCACCCGCGTCCCTTACTATATGGCATATACAACGCATATAAATCACTTTTTCTTTACCAGTCTAGCTGAGTCCTTGGACATGCAGACAGCACCAAGACAGGAGGGAGACAGAGAGTGAGGCATTTGGAGAAGGCTTGTTTACTAAGGGTAGAAAAATAGCCACAAAACTGGTATGGCACCATGGAAGAGAAAGAACTCCAGGTGCAGTTTATTATAAGCCCAATGAATTTTGGAAAATTCTTTCTTCAGGAGCATGTTTTTAGCAACACTTCTCATGCTGAACGAATACTGCATAACTCTTGAATACTGCTGCGAAAAAACACTGGGTTTATAATAAACTACATGTTTAGCATCTAGAGTTCTTCCTCTCTCTTTTTTGCTTGCTGCATAAAAAGGCCTTTGCTTTACACAACTCCTACCTGAATCTTTAGTCCAAAA